TAGGACAGTTTCAATAATTAACACATTGCATACATTCTTCCTAGTGGTTAATTGCTGTACAATAAAAAATTCTTTATTTGATTGGTTTAATTATATAATGAATAGAGTACCTTATTGGAAAATACAGAAATATATAGGTCAAAATATATGTTCCTATACGACTTGCTTATGAAAAAATTAAGAATCGAGTTTTATGTATTTTCTTTTTAAACATAGATTAAGGCATGCTATAGTGTTTTGTGACTTTGAAAAAAAATCTTTTAATTTTAAGCTATTGTGTAGTATAGATGTGTTACATTTTTTAACTTCAATATAATGTTTTATAAAATTGCTAAGTATTTAATCATATTCCCACTAAGGGATATTTCAGATATTGACAGTTTTGACGTACAAATAAGGATGCAGTTGTATACCAACCAGTGCCCATATGTGGGTATTTAGGGGCAAAGCCTACAGGTTATTTGATCAGTTTCTGCTCAGTTACAATGTAGGAGATGCTTCTGAAATTACCTTGTAAAAGGCATAGAGATTCCCACCAAGGACATACTAAAGTGTGTCTCTCCCCAAACTTAGCAGTGTTGATATCATGATTCTTCCCATTTTTGCTAGTTCAGTTCATTAAAAAAAGTAGATATTGGAAGCTGGCGAGATAGCTCAGCAGACTAAAGCGCCTGCTTAGGCAAGCACAGGGAGCATGGTTCCATCCCCTGTACCACATACAGCGCCAGCCCCACCCCCAGGGCTCGCTGAGCTGGCCAGAGTATGGGCGTGGTGACACATGCCTGTAATCCCAGCACTGGGGACACTGAAAACAGGAGGATCACCACGAGTCCGAGCTACATAGTGAGACCCTGCAACAACCAAATACATTAAAAAAAAACAAAAAAAGTAGGTTCCTTTAATCTTTTGTTTCCTGACTGTTGTAAGTTTGAGTAGCTCTTCATATATTTAAGTTTCTTTGTGCCCACACAAGCATGTGCCATGTTGATGGGTACTTTTCCCTACATACAGAACCATAATATGTACACTGTTGTATGATTTATTTTCTGAGCTAAACTAAGATGTAAAAATATAATCCTTTACTGTGGCAAACAAGATGGTATGCTAGTTTTAGAGTCAAAGACAAGAAACTGTAGGTGTTTTAAGAGCCCAGCTATAGTTGTTTGTCACTTGGCAAGAAATCCTTGGGCAGTGTTTTTTTTTAAATTTATTTATTTATTTATTTGTGTGTGTGTGTGTGTGTGTGTGTG